GCTAATTTTTTGTATTTTTAGTAGAGATGGGGGGGGAGGTTCACTATGTTGGCCAGGCTGGTCTCGAACTCCTGACCTGGTGATCCACTCACCTCGGCCCCCCAAAGTACTGGGATTACAGGTGTAAGACACCGTGCCTGGCCCTAAGTTAGTCTTTAAATGTCTTTCACGTTCAGATGACAATCAGAACTTATTCCGTACTTTACTAAGATAGAGTGAGCAAGTTATAGATTTAAAAATCCGGACCAGGTGCAGTGACTTATGCCTGTGATCCCAGCACTTTGAGAGGCCAAAGCAGTAGTATTGCTTGAGCCCAGGAGTTCTAGATCAGCCTGGGCAACATAGTGAAACCTCGTCTCTACTAAAAATTAAAAATATTAGCTGGGCGTGGTGGCACACACCTATGGTTCCAGCTACTCAGGAGGCTGAGGTGGGAGGATCACTTGAGCCCAGAAGTTAGAGGCTGCAGTGAGTCATGATCATGCCACTGCACTCCAGCCTGGCAGACAGAATGAGACCCTGTGTCTCAAACATAACAATAAATAGGCCGGGTGCGGTGGTTCACACCTTTAATCCCAATACTTTGGGAGGCTGAGGCGTGTGGATCGCCTGAGGTCAGTAGTTGGAGACCAGACTGGTCAACATGGTGAAACCCCGTCTCTACTAAAAATACATAAATTGTCCGGGCTTGGTGGCATACACTTCTACTCCCAGCTACTTGGGAGGCTGAGGAATGAGAATTGCTTGAACCTAGGAGGCAGAGGTTGCAGTGATCCAAGATTGTGCCACTGCACTCCAGCCTGGGTGACAGAGCGAGACTGTCTAAAATAATAATAAAAATAAATGAAATAATGTCTAGTTTTGGGGGAAACACCAAGCCAAATAGGATTCATGAGTTAGTGAAAGCCACATCTGTAATGACAAACTAGAAGATTTTCTAGATGTGTTTCTTCTAAAACTTTGTAATATGTGTAACTTCATCTGGCTGGTTATGTGTCCAGAGTTTCTGATGTGGCTACAAATACCACGAGGGTGGGGAACATATTTATTATGCTCATCACTGTTCACCAGAGCCAAGCACAGCAGGCCTGGCCTACAATGGGCCTTTAATCTATGTGGAGTGAGAAATGAATGAATGAATGAAAAGTACTTGAGACTTGCAGGCTTGGGAGTCTCAGACAAAGGGATGGGGCTGAGGGAAGGGATGGAGGAAAGGAAGTGGTAGATGGGATCCTATAACAGCCTGCTTCCCCCTCCATACACACACCCTGCAGGAAAGACCCCCCACCTGTATTCTCATAGCATCCTGGGCCTGCTGGAACGGAAAGAGACCAGAGCAGGAAACCCCATCGCTCACATTAGCCCCCACCGCCTACTGGCAAGGTACCAGCTCCCAATGAATGGCACCACAGAGCCTTATAATTCCCCCCATGTCCCCCTGCCTCCTGCTGTCCTGCCCCTCTTCACGCCTACCTGTTCTCCAGGAAGAACATGGTTTCCACCAAGATCCAGGACACCAAAGGCTGCCGGGCGTGCTGTGTGGGTGAGAGAGAGCTTCACGGGTGTGCAGAGAGTGGGCGGGGCCAGGCCAGAGGAGGGGCTTGAGCTGCATCCACCTGAGGTTACAGAGTTAAGGCAATGTGTCCAGAACCCAGAAGATGGGTGGTAGTGTGGGCCTTGTGGGAGGGTGGCAAGGAGGGTAGAGGGCATTGATTTTGACTCATCCTTGCCCACGCCACAGCGGAGGGTGCGAGCTCTGGGGGCCCGTTCCTGTGCGGGGCATTGGAGACGTCCGTTGTCCTGCTTCAGTGGTACCAGCCCATGAACAAATTCCTGCTTGTCCGGGTAAGGGGCTTGGGAGGGTGCTGGGAATTCTGAGGCGTGGATGGCTAAGGCCTTGCACCCTTTGCGCTTCTATCAAGAGCTCCGTGAAGCCCCACCTCCGTCGAGGCCCCACCCCAATCCTCCGAGGTCCCGCCCACCTGCGGTCTGCGCTGGAGCCTCGCCCTTCTGAGGCCATCCTGATCCTTAAGCGCCGCCCCTCACACCTGGGCCTAATTATTCCTCAGGCTCAATGCTGCCACTCCCTGGGTCTCCTAGTACAGCCCATTTAGAGCCTGTCCCTTTGAGTCTCTAAGCAGGTTTTGCTATCTTTGGGGCCCTGCCCCTCTGCCGCCAAGGTGGCATGCCCGCACGTGGAAGCCACACCCACTCGGAGGCCACTCCCCCCCGTTTTTACGGAGGCACCAGGCCTTACCGCCTGACATTTCTAGTGGGCATCTCCCAAGACTTAGGGCCCTGGTTCGGAAGTCCCAGGCCGGCTCCAAGCCACGCCCCGTGAGGCCCCGCCCTGGACCACCCCCTAGCCCGCCCCTCCCTGTGCGGCCCGCAGCAGGTGCTGTTCCCACTGCCGACGCCTCTGTCCGTGTTCGCGCTGCTGACCGGGCCAGGCTCTGAGCTGCCCGCTGTGTGCATCGGCGTGAGCCCCGGGCGGCCGGGGAAGTCGGTGCTCTTCCACACGGTGCGCTTTGGCGCGCTGTCCTGCTGGCTGGGCGAGATGAGCACCGGTGAGTGGGGCGGAGTCTTGCTGAGGGCGGGGCTGCAGGGGGCGGGGCTTAACAGGTTCGGAGGGGCGGGGCTGGAGGCGGGGCTTCGCTTAGCCTGACGCACTACTGGCCTGAGAAAGGGCTGGAAGGGCGGGAAAGGGAGAATGGCAGGTTTTAGTTAACTGGGGAGACTGATGATGGGGTGGAGCCGGGATGGTGGGCGAGGTTTAGCCCACTTGCTGGGGAACTGAGGCAGTGGCTAAAGCAGAGGTACTGGCCTTCTGGGGGGTGGTGTGGGGAAAGGGGAATGGGGTGGGGTCAATCCTTAACCCATCCCCCCCAAACAGAGCATAAGGGACCAGTGCAGGTGACCCAGGTAGAGGAGGATATGGTGATGGTGTTGATGGACGGTAAGAACCCTCCTCCCTCCCCTTCCTCCCCACCCCTCCAGCTGCGGTCCCTAGATCTCTGCCTCCGAACTCGTGCTGCTCAGAATCCCCTGAGCACCTATTGGCCTTGCCCCTGTCCTACATAGCTTTCACACTGAATTTATGGACTGGTCCCTTAGTAACCCTCTAAACCTTGCTCACAGTTCTTAAAACTGTCTATCTCCTTCCAGGCTCTTTGAAGCTGGTGACCCCGGAGGGGTCCCCAGTTCGGGGACTTCGCACACCTGAGATCCCCATGACTGAAGCGGTGGAGGCCGTGGGTCTGTGCAGGGACGGGAGAGCCCAGGATCAGGGGTGGAGACTCAGGTGATCCCCAAGGGTAACGGGCATTGCTTTCTCTCCAGCTATGGTTGGAGGTCAGCTTCAGGCCTTCTGGAAGCATGGAGTGCAGGTGTGGGCTCTAGGCTCGGATCAGGTAAGCCCCTCCATCCAAACTCCACATCGCTGTCCCCCGGCCTCCATCATCACATCATCACGTTCATCAGATGGGCTCCGAAAACTCCTGAGTCGGAGTGTGAAGTCCTGGAGGGGAAGCATCTTCCAATTTCAGTTCAGACAGATCCCCTTCTTTGCCCGAGGATTTATTTTTTATTTTATTTTTATTTTTATTTATTTTTTTAAGACGGAGTTTTGCTCTTGTTGCCCAGGCTGGAGTGCAATGGCGCGATCCCGGCTCACTGCAACCTCCTCCTCCCGGGTTCAAGCAATTCTCCTGCCTCGGCCTCCCAAGTAGCTGGAATTACAGGCATGCGCCACCACAGCTGTCTAATTTTTGTATTTTCAGTAGAGACGGGGTTTCACCACATTCATCAGGCTGGATGGTCTTGAACTCTTGACCTGGGGTGATTCGTTCGCCTTGGCTTCCCAAAGTGCTGGGATTACAGTCGTGAGCCACCACACCCGAT